TGTTTGGTGGAGAGGATGATCCGTGCAAGAGGTTGGAGGGATCTGGGGTGTTTGGTGAAGAGGATGATCCTTGCCAGAGGCTGGGAAGGTTTGGGATGCTTTGCAAGAGGTTGGGGGGTCTGGGGTGCTTGGTAGAGAAGGATGATCCTTGCAAGAGGTTGGGGTAGGGGGGTCTGGAAGGCTTGGTAGAGAGCATGATTTTTGCAAGAGGTTTTGGGGGCTGGGAGGCTTGGTAGAGAGGATGATCCTTGCAAGAGCCTGGGTGGGTTTGGGATGCTTTGCAAGAGGCTGGGGGGACTTGGAGGCTTGGTGGAGAGGATGATCCGTGCAAGAGTTTGAGGGGAACTGGGGTGTTTAGTGAAGAGGATGGTCCTTGCAAGAGTTTGGAGGGGTCTGGGAGGCTTGGTAGAGAGCATGAGTTTTGCAAGAGCCCAGCTTTGTCCCAGCGAGGGTGAAATGGGGGGTCCTGGCAGGCATGGCTACAGGCATGTCCCATCCCCCACGCAGCCCGGCTCCTGGCACAGCTGAGCGACTACGAGATCGTGACCCCCACACGGCTGGACGAGCAGGGCCAGCCCTTCCCCGCCGGCGCCCACTTCCAGCGAAGGAGACGCAGCTTCCCAGCCGGTCCCAATCTGGATGCGGTGCCCGGGTCCCACGGAGCCTGCTACAGCCTGAGCGCCTTCGGGCAACGCTTCGTGCTCAACCTGACGGCCCAGGCGGGCTTCATCGCGCCCCGCTTCACCCTCAGCCTCGTGGGGCGGCCTGCCTCCAACCACACGTGGCCGCTGGCCGACGGGGACGGCGACGTGCGGCACTGCTTCTACCGGGGGCACGTCAACACCCGCCCGCAGCACGTCGCTGTCATCAGCCTCTGCTCAGGGATGGTGAGTGCCCCCCCAGCTCCCTGCGCCCCTGCTCCACTTTGCTTTGACCCCTGGGAGCAGCCCACCTTGTGCCCCAGCCCCCTGCGCCCCTTGTCCCGCCAGGCGTGCAGCTCCTGGACCCTCCAAGCTAAGCGGGGGCTGCTTTGCCCTAGCCTCAGCCCCATCCCCTGCCCTAGGCACGGTCGGTGCCTCTCCACGGTCTCAACCCCTTTGCAGGGGATGGAGGGCTGTGCACGCCTTGCCCTGGAGTGCAGCAGGGGAGGGGAGGCGTGCCGGCCTGGCGGGGCAGTGCCAAGACTCTCCCAGCCCCGCCGGGGACCTCCCTAGTCGCTCACAACAGCAGATAGTTGGGACGGCCCCTCGGTGAGACAGTGCATACTGTCAGGCGGAGGCAAAGTGCCCAGTGGCCCGGTAGATCCGGGCTGGTGCAGCGTGCGTGGAGGGGCAATCCAGGCTGTGCTCAAAGCCAAGAGTGTGCGCCTCGTCCTGCACTGCTGCTCTTCACCAAACAGCAGCTAGGGGACACTTTTGCCTGGGAATCGCTTTCTTTCCCCTCCGTGGTCTCCCGTTAGAAACTTTGATAGCTTCTTATAGGCAGCAGTTCTTTCCCCTGGCCGAAACACTGGATATTAGGCTCAGCTCGTATCATCTCGTCGTGACCCTTGGCATATCCTACCCATGAGAAAGGGAGAGGAAAGAGCACGGTACAGCCTGCCCCCAGATGTGCCAGCAATACAAAAAAACACCTGACGGAAAAAACTGGGTCTAAAGTTTGTCTTCTTGCCAGCTAGGCTTAAATTGTGCCAGCCTTAGCTGTGGGGAGCAGTAGCTTCCTCTGTGAGTGGTTCTCCTGATTTCAGTGCTGTTGAGCTTGCACGCAGCATTGCAAGCATCATACAAGCAGCTTGCAAGCATTTTGGGGGGTTGCTGTAAAACTGAACGTGATTAGGATGGCCCTACAGCCAGCACGTTTAAATGCTAACATCTTAGTTGCATTTGGTCCTTGTGTCCTCTTAGTACTGTGTATTAGTTAGCCTCTGCCAGAGGCTGACTACCTGTCTCTGTTTGTTCTCAGCTAGGCACATTCAGGTCTCATGACGGGGACTATTTTGTAGAGCCTCTGCTGTCACTTGATGAGCAAGAGTATGAAGAAGAGCACAATAAGCCACATGTGGTCTACAGGCACCGGGCACCACAGACAGGCTCGTCAGGGGAGAAGCGTGCTTGCGATACTCCAGGTATTCATTTTTACTATTCCCCCTGTAGTTATCTTGATGTACGGCTGCATTTCTGAAATGCACATGATTTGCAGCAAGAAGTCTTCAGGTGTTTTGGGTGGGTTGGGATGGTGTAGATCTGAAAAGCAGGGATGTTTCTAGGACTGGAGTTTCTCTGCTGTAGGAATAGCTTGTTTGAAAGAGTTATAGAGGACCACTGCTCAGGTGAGATGTGTCTTTGTCTTAGATATCTCATGTTAATAGATACGGAGGCTGCTCTCAGGCCAAGCTTAACATTTCTATCTCCGTCCTTAATTTTATTCACCCCTACTATGAAGCAGTCATCTTTGACCTCCTCAGTGTTAAACATACCTGTAAACTGGTCTTCTACCCCCTTCCTAACCATAACTCCCCAAAGACACTATTTCTGGTGCTCCTTAGCTGGAGTGAAGGAGCCTTCACCTGCTGTCATCTGGCCCGCTATAATTCCTTCCATCGTTGTCTCTAGGCTGCACTGCTCCCTACCTGGATTTGATCCTAAATTGCAATGACTTGTTTCTTTCTTTGCACCAGAAATGAGAGAATATCATCCCCTACCCTGCAGATTCTTCCATTGTTGCCCACCTACTGCGGGGTCCTGTACAAAAAGCACACTATTAACCTGAAAGAGCTTTCAAGGGCTTTCTTTCTCCTTCATCAGCATCCACCCCCTGTCTGACCTCATCTCTTGTTCTCCAGCCTATTCCATGCACCTCTGAAAGAGCAGGAGCCTTTTTCTTTTTCCTTCTCGCGTCTCCGTGAGCAACAGCTTTTCTCTCCCTGTCCCTATTATCTGAAGCAGCCTCCTGCTGCGTGTGCTTAGTTGACTTCCTGAGTCTCACAATTAATCCTCTTCCTTGGCAAAGGATACCTAACCCCCTCTCTGGTATAACTTACTTCTTGGGTCTCTTGTTTCCTCCCTGCCTTTGGCCCACATCCACTGGCTTACTAAATCCACCCACAGGTGCTTCATGTATGATCCATTGCAGCCTAAATGCTACAGGCATAAATCAGCTCTTGCTCTGAATGAATGATACCTTTAGTCTGCAAGGTGACTCGTAGAGGAAAGGTACTATTTGATAAGGGAGGCTTGTACAAAATTCATGACTGTTTTACCCCAATGATGTTTTTAGGTTGGGGAATATAAGCAGTGAGTTTTCTAAGTGCATAGCTTCAGCTGATAGCGTGAAACACTAATTCAAGGAATTATCCGAAGTAGAGATGAAGTAAACATAACGATGATAGGCGAGTTGCATGTGCGAATGCACACGCACACCTATGCATGCACACACGCAAGGGGCTAATGGTACATCTCACAAGACTTCTACTGTTTGTTCTTCCAAGGGTTGCTGCTGGACTATGCCACTCTGGTTTCTCTCTTCCAGCTGTTTCTGCTCCCTTCTTTGAGATCAGATGCAGGAGACTCAGAACAGTTGGAAAGAAACACGGAAACTGGCACAATTCATCAGTAACCCTTGGAAGAACGGAGCAACAGATCAAGGATCCCATTGACTTGAAGGTAGTTGCAAGGGCTCTGAAAACAATTTGGGGTCACTCCATATGTGCACCACACCGGGTCCGTCGAACTGGACTCTCTTATGTGCCTGATGATTTTGGAGGAGGGTTCAAGCTACTAGCTTTCACAAGGGCTGGCTTCGTCCGCCACTGTTCTGCTCTGCTTAGTTATCAGTGTCTCGTGCTGTCCCTTTTTATGCCGCTTCTTTTCTCTTCTCTTCTCCTTTGCCCCGTGCATTGGGCAAAAGAAGACCCCACAATTTAAAAAAACTTTCCCAAATAATTCTGTTCAGAAAACCCCAGAGAAACTTGGTTCTCTCTACCCCATTCAGGCTGTTCCCCAGCATTTCCTAGGTCAAGCTTGTGCTGGTGACAGATGCCACGTTGTTGACTCTGGACACAGCCACTTAAGAGTAAATATGCATAAAGCAGGGTCAGTGGCTAGTTTCATCTCCAAACACAATCTTCCCTGCTGATTTCTTGCCCTTCGCCCAGATGGTTTTAGGGCAAACAGTAGAAGTTTAGCGACACGTTTCATTTTCTCTTTGGAAATTGCCTTTGTGCAGGCTGCTTTGACAATCTTGGTGGAGTTGATGGTCTTAACTGCATTGGACCTGGGATTTGCGGATTGCATTACATTTTTTTTATAGGCCTGGTACAAAAAATAGGATAAAGTCCATTTGCACTGCAAGTTAGCAGCCAGAACTAAGACTCACTAAGGGAGGAAACACAACCCTGGAAAAGACTTAGGCCTCAGTCCTGCAATGAACTTGAAATGGGTGAATGGACTCCATTGCAAAGGTCATTTTATTAAGGCTATGTCTTATCTGGAGAAGATTTGTAAACAGCATAATGCGGTCTTAGATTCGTGCAGTAGCTGTTGTCATCGCACAGTGTAAAGAAAGAAATTCTCCCTGGTTTTACGACTGGTGAGGTAGGGTCTTTTGCTTCTAACAATCCCCATAAACCATTTATCATCACAATTAGTTTTCACATGACTAGGTCAGCTGGTGAACAGGAGTGTTTGTTTTTCAAGCTGCTGAGTTTTAATTAGCAGTTTCTAATAGCTGTATCTAATGCTTTGAGATGCAGGAGAATTTGGATAATAGCTTGTCAGGTACTTTGCAAAATGCCCAGTCGCCTTGTGAAAGTTGGTGGCTTTAGAAGGCAAGTTGTGCCATGCATGTAAGGAAGTCTCTTGTAATACAACACGGGGCTCCCCTGACAAAGTGCTACCATTTTTTTTTTTAATTTTCCCCCATTAACAGCTAACAATGCCTCACAACAAGCTGTAGCCCTGCTTTGCTGTTAGAGATGGCAGGGTTTTGTAGTTGTGCTCCCAGGTGAGGATGCAGCTGCTCCTGGTTCTGTCCCTGTCATCCTGCGACACAGTCCTCCTTTCTGTGCGTATCTTCCTCTTACCGCAATAAACCCCTAGTAGCTGGAGCGCTGGACTGAGCCTCAGGAGATCTGGGGTTCATTCTGCCATTGATCTGGTGAGTGACTTTAGGAAAGGGGCTTTACCTCTCCCTGCCTTGGTTTCCTCATCTGTAAAATGGGGAGAATCATTCTGCTTCCTTGTGATGAGCTTTTTGAGCTATCCTATTGAAAAGCACCGTAAAACATCCTAAAATGACACGTTCTTCATCACAATGAGCCAGTTCCTTAGCTGATCTGCACCGGCCAGTGCAATGACCAGAAGCAAGTGCACTTGCCTCGAGGAGAGGATGCTCGACCAGGCTGTGGCTGAAACGTCTCCAGCAGGTGTGGCTTTAGAGGCTCCCTCGTGGCAGCCCTGCTACTCACCGCTTCGTGCCAGCAGGATTTATGGCCATGCCTGTGGAAACCTCCCCGTGCAAGCTACAAACACCCGGCGATTTGATGGTGGAGGTGCTTTATGTTTAAAATCCCTCTGTTTAAACTCCATGCTGGGATTCCTGCATCCAGGCCAGGCTGCTCCAGGGGGTTTCCTGTAGAGAGACATCCAGTCCTGCCCCAGCTCCAGATGCAGATACTAGCTCACACGCAGGAAGCCTCCTCTAGTTACCAGCTAAACGAACTGCTTCAGGTTCTCTCTCGTCCCCTCCCAGATGACTTCGAGCGTGATAGTTTTTCCTCGTGTACCTGCGTGCTCGTACGCTGCAGACAGACTCCTCACCTGTGTGTATGTCCATGGCTTTCCTTTTCTGGCGTGTCTTCTCTGTTGAAGCTTTTCACTTGATTTATTGTTTTTAGAAGGTGTGTGTGTGCATAGGGGAAAGTTAAAAAAGCAGTCCCCCTCTGTGCTGGAAGGTTAACTTTTCTCTTTCATTGATTTTTTTTTTTTTTTCTTCCCCTTTTGCCTTGTCTTAGTTTTTGATGCTGCCCCTTTCTCCCCCTCCTTCTCCTTTTCCTATGTCTCGGGAGGGCTGGGGTCAGTTATGGTTAATCTCTTTTTGATCCGTAGCAATAAATGGTTGCTCGCAAGTGCAGGGCGCTTGACTTGATGGCCCACGAAGTCCTTTCCGGCCTTGTGTTCCTATTCCCCTCCAGTCCTTTTGTACTACTTTTATTGATCTCTCTAGCTCTATCTGAATCCCATTGGAGAACTGGTTTTATTTCCTCTATCTCCTTCTGTCTGTTCTTACTCCAGACTTTGCAGATTCCTTGCAGCTTTTGCTTTGAAACCCATTCAGGGGCCAGGTTTTGAATTGGATCTTTGTGTCCTTTGCGTTCGCTGGTCTGACCTGGCTTTTTATGTCTCTCTCCTTTTATTTTAGCTGCCTTCTTTCCAGCTTCACCTCCTTCTGTGCGCGAAGGCCGGTCTCCCTGGCCCTGCAGCTCCCCGTCCGGCGTTACACCTCCGCCTTCCTGTAGCTTTTGTTCAGCATCAAAGTCAAAGGCTGTGGTGTGGCGATAAGTTGTTTCTCACATGTAGAGAAAAGGGCCACGTGCAGTAAGCACTGGCGTCTGGCCCTCTCTTTGCTGCTTAACCCCCAGGCCGTGCTGTGGGTTAGGGGCTGTAGTGGATTTCAGGGTTTTAGCCGATCAGATCGAGGCCTCGGCTCTTTTAATGAGATTTGTCAAAGCCAACGTATTTTCTGACCGCTCCTGCAAAAAGTCTCCTCGCCTAAACTGAATACCCAAGTGCCTTGGCCAGAGCTCCCCATTGAGGCAGCAGCTCTTATCTCATTGATGCCTCACTTGCAAGAAGGTGTTTGGAGCCCCCCCCTCCCTTCTTGGAGAAGAGCCAAAAAAAGGCCGGAAAAAGGACTTCCAGCTATTCACATCGTAGCGGGAGGAGATTAGAAATGTCCTTGATTTAGCTCAGCGCAAACCCGGCGCTGAGTTCGGGGAGACCGGGCTGAGGCTACGGCAGCAGGGCCTCCTGCAGGCAGCGATTGAGGGGCAGAGGAGGAAAAGCCACACGATTCACGACCGTTTTTGAGCATCGCTAGCAGAAATTCCTGCTAAGAGCAGCTGTCTGG